GTCGAGGCCACACTTGACTTTATTCGAACCACCAAAATCGCCACTAGAATATGGCACACACAACGCGCAACTGAGGATGAAAACGAAGATGAGGACGAGGAAGACGAGGACGAGGAAGACGAGAACGAGGAAGTGTAGCGTACAGGGCGTGAAACGAGGGGGCGTACTTCAACATAACAACTTTTCTTTTGTCATAACCAGAAGCCTAGCTGCTTCCAACAACCCAAGAACTGTAATGACCATAACCCCCTTCTCAAACATATATTTAGTACAGCTTTACTCATCTGTTGGAGGGAAACCCCCAGCCGTGCTACTATAGTCTCAGACTGACACAGCACGTTAAAAGGAATAATAATAATAATAATAATAATAAAAGGGGTGGACAGCTAAGAGTTACACCATGCTAGCTCAATAAGATCGACGCCCTACTATAGATCCACTCTTACACGATATATCTTAACTAAAAGAACAAGGGTTTTAGCTATTAGAACGCGGAATTAAACTGCTTATCAAGAAAAAACTGTCCAAGAAACAGTATAAAAGCTATTAAAAAGGCCCCTCATATAGTAGATTCTAATATAATCTACGTGATATAGTATAACTCTTAGCTGTCCACCCCCTTTATACTCGTATTAGGTGTTCCAATAATACTACCAAGCTAGAATAGGCCAGTGTGAGAGGCCAGACCTCGAATAGCCCAAAGGTGTGGTTTCGAATATTCAATTAAGAAGTGCGTGAAGACTACATACATGCAAGCTCTTCTTCTATATATAGAGAGGAAGAGCTTCCTGAATATTCCAAGAAACTTGCAAGAAACTTGAATGACGAATACATGATGTCAGAAGAACAAAACAAGAAAGTGTGGAAAAGTAGAAACCTGTTTGGCAGTGGGGTAATGGCCAGTGCTAAGCAGGGACTTTGTGAGAGGCCAGACCTCGAATAGCCCAAAGGTGTGGTTTCGAATATTCAATTAAGAAGTGCGTGAAGACTACATACATGCAAGCTCTTCTTCTATATATAGAGAGGAAGAGCTTCCTGAATATTCCAAGAAACTTGCAAGAAACTTGAATGACGAATACATGATGTCAGAAGAACAAAACAAGAAAGTGTGGAAAAGTAGAAACCTGTTTGGCAGTGGGGTAATGGCCAGTGCTAAGCAGGGACTTTGGTCAGTGCTTAACGAGGACTTTGGTCAGTGCTTAGCGAGGGCATGGCCCGAGCCTCCATCATGGGTTCCAACCCTCACAGCCAGCTAAATATATCACAATGAAAAAGCCCGATAGGTTTATTGGAAGCTAAGAAGCGAGGAGTTACCTAGGTTAGAGAGAATATGTAATAAAACGTTCAGGATTAAGGAAATAGGCGACGAGAAGGAGAGAACTCCAGTAGTACTACGACGTCAGAGGATCACGACAGAGAACGACAACTTATAGAGCCAGAGCAACATGGTAGAGAAATCAATTATTACCATCCCACAGCACCAACTTGGGACAACCCAAGAACACACTAACCCTCTTATTAGACCATAAAGGACCTTATACATCCCAATTTCACCACCCGACTATGTCCTCGCTACTTTTCTCTACCACAATAGACAGTACCCAACCCACATTCCCATCTCTTCTATCAATAGCCGCCTCCACTAGGGGCACCTGAGTTTGTGCAATATCCATTCCAAGTGTCTGGGTTGATGCTGGTGTGATCGCTAAAGCAGTAGCCCGAAATCCTACAATCGTTACAACCGGCCGTCCTCGCTAGTCCGCATGCCTTTTCGGTGGCTACTTTGTCGTCGCCATCATTAGCGTTGGGCTTATTGCAATATGCGTTTCTCCACCAGGCTTGTGCACTGGTGGCGAAAAAGGCGATGATGACGAGGGTTTTTTGGAGTTGCATTTTGGCGGAGGTAAGAAGGTTGGGGTGTTCTGGAGATGGTCGTGGTGGTCTTGAGAAGATCGTAAACCCCGTTGAAATACCACAGGTAGATTAATATGCGTAGAATCCGGTGTAAAAGAAAGCTGATCTGATAAAACAAGTGCGAAGTGACCTAGTATATTTTCCAGCTTCCAAGGCGACGCTATGAAGACCTTATATACACCTCTCCACGGTGTTAAACTCATCGAATGACGTATTTCAAACCAAAACCAGAAGTTTAATGCGTCATTTACTTCGTCCCAGGCATAAAAAAGCGTAAAAATCTAGTTGGCAAAGTTTCAACATGGGATTTCCTTAAAAACCTTCCTAGAATTTTGACGTCCTGAAAGGAAGTAAATCGAGCATTACAATGTTGAATTTGGAACAAATGTCGCTTAACCTTTCTCGATACAGTGGCATTATACGCGGATCGGTAGCGTACCCCAGAATAGACAAAACTCCGTAAAACTTTATGCGCTTATTGAGTACGGTAATTAAAATATTCGATAACATGTTGGCATCTAACCCCTTTTAAAAAAAGATATTTTAATATGGTGTGTAGCGACAAGGCAGGTGATGTCTACCGTATTAAGACGGGGCGAGTATATTAGATAGAGCTAGAGCCACTACGGATTTACGTGGGACGTCGTTGAAGAAGGGTTTTATCATTTGTATAGCTATGTATACTTAGCGTCGAACTCTAATTAGTATGGTGCACCCCTGGATGGATTTTACTATTAAGGGGGTGGACAGTCAATGCTAGACACTGTCACGTAGATCATATGTGAAAAAAGTCTATATCGGCCAAATATGAGTCTTTAATTCGCTGGTTTAGCTAAAAATTAGGGCTAAGACATACTATAATCAGCGACAGTGTCTACCTAGCTTTGACTGTCCACCCCCTTTATACTCCCAGGCAAACAACCAGTAAAACCAACTGAAAGGCATTTTCCAGAGCGCGTCTCAGAATCTAGAAGGTGCCTGAGAATCGAAACATCGGCATCACCGACCTACAGTAACTTTCCTCGTTCATCTTGAACATCGAGCCTCCTTGGTTACTCCCTGCAATCGTATTTCCTAGCAGGTTTTCTGTTCTCATCGTCGATAAAACGGGCTTCTCGTATGTCATCTGTCATTTTCGTCCCATTGACTTTTCGGGCGATGGGATACGACTAGTCGATGGGATGAACTGAGAATATAGTCAAGATGGGATCGAGATGAGAGGCATTTCGGATGGTGCATTGCTCGGACGGTGGTAGCTTTGGGGACGGTAGTTGTTCATGGATGATACTTGTTCGCTTAAGGTTCTAGAAGGTCTACGCGACAAGCACCCCGTGATACCGTAAAAGCTAAGCTCTGAGCCTGTAAAACCTCTTGATTCAGGATCGGTACCTAGGCTTCATGGCGGCGAAAGATCGAGAAGGAAGAGGTGGTCATTAGAAGGTAGTACGTCTTTCATCGCCTTACGACTCTAAAACATGTAAGATATCTGGTGAATGACTCGTTGGCCTTATGGTTTTCTTATTATGAAGCTATATGTCACTTCCAGTCACTCTACTTGTAAACCAAGGCAAAAGAAAAAGTTAATTTACGAGTAGCTAAGATTTCTAAATAATTTCCATAGACAAAACACTGAAGTATATATCCCAATCCTACCTTTTAGCTACCAACCTGTTTTTCAGATCGAGAAGTCCTCTTAGCTAGAGCTTTCTCGCATAAGGTTCCTTAAACCACTATAGGGGATGTTTTTATATCACGTGAGGACTACCGAGAGCTAGCGGCGGGAGTAGGAATCATTAACAACTTCATATTTCCTGTCCAAGAGTAGGATACGTACGAGTTCTTTTTCTCGTTCTTATTACTTTGCTTCTCTTTACTTTGTTTGTTTTACTCTTTTATCTATAGTAGCTAAGTACTCTAGTTCTAACTAAGTGTCGATTACTTACCTTCGTTTGCTTGTAGGAGCGATACGATATAATTCAAGTATATAATTCAAGGCACAATAACCCTCCTACCCAAAGCATCGCTCGCTGTACTCCTACTCGTATGTTTCTAGAGGAAACGTAACCTTGTCCCTACAATTCAATCAGCTGTACAGAAAAGTGGGGGGGGGAGAAGCGAGGAGCGATACAAGGTTATAATACGAACGACGAGCGATACTGTCACAACAACAATCTTCGACTTTGCTAGGTAAGGAGGGCTCTTCGAGTATGGTTTTGGCCTAGAGGGTTTTTCTATACTTGTTACACAAATGTAGGAGAGGAGGATATTTGCAGAGCAGGCGGTGGATATTTTACTACACTTTCCACCCCTCCACACACACCCACACACCCACACACCTACACCTACACCCATACATATATGGACCTAGCACTCGCCTTACGGAGCCGCTCACTCACCTCTTACCTACTCTCTCGTTCGCTCGCGGCCCCGCAAGACTCTTACTAGCACCCTAGGGCTCTCCAAACCCCAGGTGCTGGTCCTATATATGTGCCCCTTTACCCGTGAGTAGGACGAATGTGAATATAGAACTTTATTATTGATATCAAAGAAAGGGGTCAGGTGGAGCGCATGTAGGAATTTGATAACGTGATGGATGGTAGAGAGAGGTAACTAACTACGTGTCAACTAATAATACTTACACAAGATTAAAAATCCCATCTTAATTCATTATTCTACCTTATGAACGAAGTCAAAGGCAAGATGGACATCCAAATATCACTACTGCGCATCGGTTACTCGATAAGTGTAGTAATTATATCCCTAGCTCTTATTAGTATCCCGTACACTACAAAGATGAAGTTCCTCGCCTTCTGGAGTCATACACCAAAATAATACAATAAATATATATTAACCAAAATAGTTCTCTTTACTAAAGATTACCGCGTACCTATAACACAAAGTTTCCTTATGTAACATACTTTGGTTATACAGTGCCCCACAGACAACTTCAATTATCCTATAAGATCTAATGGAAGATTAGAACTACTTTTCCGTGAACTCGTTATTATGTATAGTATAACAAATAGTGACGTTAAGCTATAGACTGGTCCCGTCTAGGCTGGCCCCGCCGAGATACCACTACTAATGAGACTAATGAGGAGACATACCTGGGAGCTTGGATAGGCGAGGTGTCTGTTGGTATAAGGTAAGCGAGGTCATCTAGTCCCGCTTACTATACAAGTGCGTAGAAATTAGGGAATTTTTGGGAAACTCGCTTAGTGCGGGAATTAAATTCGCCTTTTCCTTTACATCGCTAGTACATTACCTGCGCTCACGCCTTCCATACCCCAATCATCCCTAAGAGACATGAAGGCCCCTACCTAGAGCAACAGACAACGTACTCCCAGGAGTTACCACGAGCTTCTTTCTGTACGCCTCGCAACAGACTCCAGGCTCCATGGGGCGTACTATTGGAGTCGAGCAACACGAGTTCGATGTGGGGAGAGAGTTCACCGACGTGGTCGACTATTTGCTCGCTCCTTGTCTCCATGGAGAATCATATGTAGTCTAGGAGGTATTCAATCTTCGCAAGATTCAAGTATCCGTGCACGAGTACAAAGACCTTGTATTTACTACCACTATTACACTATTACGCCATTACCAGGACAGAAGTGGTATTGACGACACCTTTTGGAGGTCTCGCTTCTGCGGCGCTAGGTTTTTGATGCCTTCTTGTGTAGTACGAGTTTTGACGATGGAATTTTAAATACTGGGAGGCTGAACTTGCTAGGGGGAAGGGTAACAGACGTGTTGGCGTACCCTTGTTTGGCAAAGTAGTGTGCTATATTGCTGGAGGATTTGAGATCGCGATAGGTATACGGTAAAGGCTTTACACGGAGTGAAAGCATATATAACGCCTATTACCTAAATAATTCAACTCAAACAATTCAAAGACCACCCATTCCCAGGACCCCTGGTCGTAACGCAAATCCATCCTCTTGATCCTATCGTCTTGCTGCTTATCTAATGTCCTCTTTCCTCCCACTCCCTCTCAGAGCGCAACCAAGCAATTCCGCAGAATGCAGGATTTGTTCTCACAATTGTATGTAAGAAGGATATTCTTGCACTTAATCCTAGTTCGTCGAACGTAGTTTTCATTCCTTGAGACGGTCGCTTAATAACCACTATTTACAGCCTCCACGATAGACGATATCATTAGGGATTACGATAGAGACCCGAAAGCGTAACACTGAGATAGCGCTATTAATGAATAGGTTAGGAGATTTTAGTAGCGAGGATGAGATATTTCTAGATTTGATTAATGCCTTATAAAACTTAAAAAGTTATGAAAAGAAAGGAATTCTAACCCTAGGAGTCGAGTACTAGTAATCGAAGATTAAAAGATATAACTAGTAATTCTAATACTAATATTCTACTTTGAAAAATACTACGCCCGTTACTATTAGATCACTTTTCACTTATACAATTATGTTAATGAAACTACCGCCCTAAGAAGAAAAGAGGAGGTATACTTTTCACGAAGGGCTTTCAACTATGTTGTATTAACAAATCGAAATTATAAGATGGTCAAAAACAATATCCAATAGGGAGTCTGCTTCTCTCCAAGATTGTCCCAACTTACCTTCCTAACACAACAAGCTTTTTTCATACGTAGAGGCCTTTGAACTTCAAGAAAGTCCTTTGTTAAAATGATGTAAAAGCGCAAGCAATATTTTTGCGGCCCTACTTCAACCCTCCACACCCTGCCTAATTCGAACGTGCTTCATAAGCCAAAAAATGAAGAAATGTAAATGACAGTAACGTGCCAAGTTGACGTCACAGTTGAATGATACATTAGAGAATATAGAGTTCTCTATTTTCATGCTAACGGAACACTGGAGGGATATCGTACCAGAGATCTATGCATCTATTGGAACTCCACATATTGAGTTAGTCTGGCGGACTACCCACCTCCTCCCAGCCTGCAGTCTTCATAGTAACTTCGCTAAAGTGTTTTGATGCAAATGAAATAAGTCGAAGCTTCATCATTGCGACCACCCCATATACTTATACTTGTACTTCTATAACGTTGGAATCGGATCCATGGTAAGCTTAAGCATTTGGACTCTCGCATGGGTATGTTTCCCACATAGTGGAGAGATGAGGGTGAAACTAGCTTCATTACAAAATCCGCTTATTATGTAAAGATATTTTCAACGTATTAAGAGGGATCTTTGCGAGTCTAAGAACCCTGCGATTTCTTTGAACTTAGACAGCAAATATGTAATAAACAATATAAATTACGAGCTTATAGACCTAAACTAATCAGAATGCCATGATAAAACCAGCGTCAAAGTTGTTAAAGTAGATTGGGCCGGAGGCGGAGGCGGATGTTGTTATCGGGACGTTCAACTAAGGTGAAAGGGGGACCGACAGGGGTTATCGGTACTCAGAATTTCTGTCTCACTACTGTACCGAGAAAAGTCCTACTACGAGAGGCATCCTACTCCACTCTGCCACCCCAGCATTTTTGTTGCGACTTACCACGGTACCATCACCTAATTCTCCGGAAGAGCCGAAAAGATAACAAACAACAGGTACTATAGCAAGACGTTTTTCAAAGAAGGGGTCAACTTGACCGTCTTAACATCTTGTTATTTCTACTTCTACGAAGATTCTACGAAGTGCAAATGATGGTGGTGCAACCAAGGTTGACACTTACCAATTAATGGTATAGTTTCCCCGCGGCCAAGTGTACGAAGGTTTCCCAAGCAGAGCAACAACCAGGAGGGCGGGAAGAGCCTTCTGCCCTTTAAACTTCGTAAAGCCATCCTCAGTTGTCAATATGCGGAGGGTTGTGGGTACGTGCTGATATGTTTTTCTCTAACTTAACTCTTTCATTGTGGCAGATAGGGTTTCTATATATTGGGCATGGAGCGGTACTACTTTCGTGACGAATTCTCGATTATCTCCTACCGTACCCTACTCGTAATCCTTATTCTCCAAAGTTTCCAAGCAATCCTCAGCCTAAATACGAAGTAAGATACGTATTATTACGGGTCTTGTCGATAACAGAAAGCATGATTCGTGAAATGCCCATGATCGTTAGGACTGAGTCATCTAAACTTTATTATACCGAGCCAAACAGGCCCTTAAATCGGGGCTCGCGAGCACAGATGCTTGCGACTCGTTCCTCGTTGTTGACTCTACGAAGTAGGTCATCGCGCAGTGATCGCACCCTGGGCCCCATGTTCTTGCGGGCGGAATATTTTCCACAGCTTTTCACGTACAGTACCTACTCGTATGCGGTACGAGTAGAGAGCGTATGCAAGTTGAAATTAATGAAAAGCGTTATGTTAGAGATACACGGAGAGACTGCCTAAATCGGTTGCGCAGACGCGGTATAGTCAAGTGGCAAAGAAACGTATCGGCAATACAGCTCTGCAATAAAAGTTGCATGAATACACATGTCAATGGATTTATATGAATTTTTACCACTCTGACTGGATTCAAGCACTCTCGACTTGTAGGACTTACTAGTCATGTAAGTCTCACAAAAACGACGGCGGTGAGGCCGCGCGTTTTTTGGGTGAGAAACACTCTGCCCTGTGTTGACTACAATGCAAGATCCATGATGAAAGATGGTGGTGTTTTTAATCTAGTGTGAGAAGTAGGTTTTAGATGGCCATATTAAAGTTGCTAGTGGATTGATTCATGGCTAATGATTGCTCTATGCATAACGAACTGTGCAATCTTCTGCACCAATAATAATAGAGGATTTCAAGACGGCGATAAAGACTCGGTTGGTTGTGATCTCTTTCGTGATAATTAAGAAAACATTACCATTTTAACTAATGTCGCCAACCAGCCATAGACAGACGTCCTACTTTTGGTGGTACTCTTACCTACCCAGATTAACTGCCGAGCCTTTGGCTTTACTGTGGATGGCACTATACTGCGGGGTCGCGACTCCTTTCCTAATTTCGACCTACATCCAGTCCAGTGACCCAGGAGAATCTTTCCGGGGATGATTGGGATGCGAATCCTGATTGAGGTGTGGCTGTAGCGGAGCTCCTACCTCAAATGGCTTTGAAAGAGCCCAATCCTACGTCCGAGAATTACACGTCTTGGTATATGTTCCTATCCACCTCTCAAACAACGGCTTCTTCCATGGAATCAGGAAGGTCTTTGAAGTTCCTTGAAATAACTTGAGAGCTATGGAGATCGCCCCTGGAAAATCAAAATTTGGGTCCAAAGACAGGTTTGGGCTTTAGATCAGAGAAAGTCCAAATAAACAGGTCAAAGTGGTATAAATAGTTGAGGATCACCGTTCATTCACTGAGCCATCATCGCGAGATACCCCACATTCTTTATCTACTTTTTTTTGTTTTGTACTGTACAATATTGATCTCGCTTGTCTCATCACCGCCATCATGAAGATTGAACTCAGCCTCGCCGCAGCTGCTCTAACTCAGGGAATTTCGGCTTCTGCGTGCCCATTGGACACTACTACGCAAGCCACCTCAGAGGCAACCTTCCAACAGAAGTGTGAAGCCCTCACCTCTAACCTCAAAATTGATCAAGCAGAAGTCACTTTGAGCACATATGTCCCAGCAAACAGCACTGTTCAATTCCCCAACGCCGACCCCACCTGTGGACGAACCTCTCAAAGAGTTACAGAAAGCGTCTGCCGCGTTGCTCTGACCTACCACACCTCAAATGCCTCTCAGGTTAGCATTGAAACCTGGCTTCCAGAGAAGTGGACCGGTCGATTCTTGAGCACCGGAAACGGTGGTCTTGGAGGATGTATTCAATATGAAGATATCAACTATGCAACCTCCCTCGGTTTTGCTGCCGTTGGTACCAACAACGGTCACGACGGTATGACCGGAGAATCTTTCTTGAACCACCCAGATGTTATTGAAGACTTCGCTTATCGTGCATTGCACACCGGAGTCGTCGTCGGCAAGGAGATCAGCAATACATTCTACGAGAAGCCATTAAGCAAGAGTTACTATCTCGGCTGCTCTACCGGTGGTCGCCAGGGTATGAAGGAGGCACAAACGTTTCCGGAAGACTTTGATGGTATCATTGCCGGAGCCCCTGCGATGTCTTTCAATAACCTCACTTCATGGAGCAGCAACTTCTTGATTATCACCGGAGCACCTGGCTCGCCGACCTTCATTCCCTTGGACTTTTGGTCAACCATACACCAAGACGTCTTGGCCCAATGTGATATGCTCGATGGAGTCGCTGATGGTATATTGGAACAACCCGATCTCTGCCCATACGACCCTTCAGGCCTCGTTTGTACCGAGAGACAAAACAGCAGCTCCTGCCTTACTCCAACTCAAGTTGAAACTGTCAAGAAGATCTACTCACCACTCATCGACCCTCTCGATGGTAGTCTCGTCTACCCACGTATGAACCCAGGTAACGAGATCCTTGAAGCCCCTTTCACCTACTACACTGGTGCCCGTTTTGGTGCCGCAGACTGGTTCGAGTATGCCATCTTGAACGACAGTAACTGGGATCCTGCGACTCTTACCCCAGCTGACTGGCGCCTATCATCCACCCTCAACCTCTTCAACATTGAGACTTTCAACGGCGATCTCTCCGCCCTCCAGAACAGGGGGTCCAAACTTCTCCATTACCACGGTACCGCTGACGGAGTCATCTCCAGCGAGAACTCTCCTCGCTACTACCAACACGTTGTCGACACCATGGGTAAATCACCTGCCGAGTTGGATGACTTCTACCGATATTTCCCTATCTCCGGTATGGCTCACTGCGGAGGCGGACCAGGGGCTACCAAAATCGGAAACGGAGCCAGACAGTCTAATTCTCTTGACCCAGCGGAGAACGTATTGATGGCTATGGTCCAATGGGTTGAGGAGGGTATTGCCCCAGAGACCGTTACTGGAGTTCAAACAAGCGCCGATGGTCAAGTTACCGCCAAGCGCAGACATTGCAAGTGGCCTGCGCGTACTACTTACAACGGTGTTGGAGATTCGAACAACCCAGATAGCTGGTCATGCGTTTAAATATGTTGAATATTTGGTTCGGGTTTTGTTTTGTAGCAATTAGTCGGGGGTCCTCTTGTAAATATAACGCCATTCTATCTCTATCTGTTGTTTTGACTCGATGAAGCTGTGACCGTTGACTTTCCTTGTGTTTTTCCTTTTTTCACACGCACAACATTCAAGACCCAATCTCCCATCATTCATTCACAATCACCACGCCTTCAGTGCCTTTTCAAAAACCACGAAAGCGGAAATTCAAGCTAGGAAAATTCTTGCAGACGAAGTTGAGTCGTGTTGTCGTTCCCCCTCCCATGTGCCCCTCATCTCGGGAACGTCCAAAGGAAATAAGGAAATAAGCGAGGACTTAAGACTTTTCGTCCACCCCAACCATTGAAAGCTTAGTTCTCTTCCTCCCGCTTGGGACTACAGCAATCAAACGTGTGGGCACCTGAATTGTAATATTTTCCGGTTAAAATTACATCGCAATTCCACCTTCTCGACTTCCTGTTTTTGCGATTATTTAGGTTCCGTGACAAACCTTACGCTTGGCAATTAGTAACATCTTGAAAGCACCTTACTAATCTTGATGAAAGCGCTTACGTATTTGGTCAATGCGATTGCTTGTGCCATATAAGCTCTGGTCGCCAAGAAAGTCTCTTTCCTGGCGAAAGTGAGTACGAAGAGACCCTGAGTACGTAAACGCGAGCTTATATTGTGCTGCGATTCACAAGGAGGTGAATAGTACGGAGTGTATTATTCATGAATGCTTCAATTTTTGTCATTACCTACGGCGGCGACTTTATGCCTGGCAAAATCGGATATCTCCTCTCCCCTTTAAATAGTGTATAGTATCTCCCCTCTAAAGTTCTCCCCGCCACTCCTTTCCGCCGAGATCTCCGTTCCTATCCAGCTAAATTTTCGAGCTCTCCTTCCTACTCCAATCCTAACTAATCAGTACTCCTTCTCCTTGCCAGGGCACCGGATAGGAAAGGCCAGGAGTACTCCTAAGACTTGGTATTATAGGTTTTAGTAGATCGGTAAAACAGGTGGAAATTAGGTAGAAATACACGTCCTTGATCTACACCTAGGGGGCAGGGGAGCTTGCATTTCTCGGGATATTCCGAGCTTCCTTGATGAACTCGGTACTTTGACGAACTTAGCGTACCTACGAACTTGGCGTACCTACGAACTTGGCGTACCTACGAATAGCCTTATTTTCAGCCTCTCCTTCCTACTCCTCTCTAGAATCCTACCTCTCCTTATCCACTCCTTTCTAGACAAGTAACCTATTCTCCTCTCCTTCTCCTAGCTAAAGATTTAGATCTCCTGTTTCCTCCTAGTAGCCAGGAGAGGAAAGGAGGGGAGATACTAAACACTACCTTCAAATACCGTCATGATTCGAAAGAGAGGTCAAAAATGTCGCCGAGGTGTGCCGCAGGGGGGTGACTTCTGGCATTAGCTACACTAGATTCCTAGAACTCCTTTACTACTCTTTTGGAAGTGCCTTTTAGAGATAAGCTAGAACTCAGAGTACGGTCGGTATATATGGAATGGAAGCAAAGTGGACTTTGAAGTTGTTTAGCTACAGGTAGGGGTTTTTGTATGGCACTTACGGAATTGATTCTGTCGAATATTTTCTACCCCACGACTACACACTGGACCACCGTGTCGAGTTTTGACAATACCATTCTTCTTTTCTCGGCCCTTGTTTAACCAAGCTCTGCTCTTCGCTCTATTACTTAGTAATTGTACTCACTTACCAATGGACGGGCACTGGCCCAACTTAACTTTAACTCTAAAGTCAATTGGATCTCAAATAGCCGATCGGGCCATCGGTGCCCATCACCCATACAGATCATGCTTCTCACAAGGCTGGTTGGCAGGCTGGCAATGAAGAAATAGGCGACGGGAAGTTTCCTTGGCTTGATAAACTCACTCCTTGAGGCGTCATGGAGAAACTTCTAAGCGAAGAAAGACTTTCCCCGCACGAGGCCGGGAAAATGTACTTGTATTCCCGGGCTCCCCGCGTGCTCTATTTGTTTATGATTTCTTCTCAAATTGGAAGGGAGGCTGAGGTCCGGGTATCTATTTCTGACTGTCGTGTGGTAGTATACGTCATCTTTTGTGATATCAGTGTAATTACACAAGTAGAAAACCTGTTACAGACACTTGAATGGAACAGTTTCTGGTTGCAAGAGAAGCGAGGCTCTGCACTAAGATTTCCTCTTTTCTCCCCTTCCAGTAGAGACTCATCAGTCCAGATAGGTGGTTTTCTTTAAAATGTTTTTTCCTTCTATTTTATGTAAGATTACAGCACCTTATTAGAGTACTGCTAAGAGAAGGTTCCCTATTTCTTTTCAAATTGGTTAATATTTACAGTTTACCATTATTAGGCCTTAACATAAGACAGGTGTCAAGCTACACACGTAGCAGACCATCCTCGCATAACAAATTCCTGAGGTTTATTTACTGTTAGCTGTCTATTCACATTCTCATCAACTCCTCCAACAAATAAATCCTCCACAAACTATACATGACCAATAGAAGGAACTTCTCCGTAGACAAAATCTATTCGAAACGCAGTATTCAGACTATTCCAGGTACAAAGATATACCAACAGCTCCGCCAAGATCCTTGCAAATAGTGGATAGTCCAAGAGCTTGGAACTGCTGAAATCCGGTAATTGAGCCTTGTCCACTTTGTGTCCCGTACGTGGCTGCATCGTCCCATACAAGAGTACTATACCCCAAGATCCACAGGTTGATCCTCCAAAAACCCTTAATTTCGGGGTATTATTAGAAATATGGGAAGCTCGTTAGTGCTTGTGAGGCTTGGGAAGCTTGTGCTGATTTTTGTTAGTCATGATAAGTATTTGAAGAAGGGGTAAGTAAGGTTTTGAATTACTGAAAATGTTAGTAGATAGTAACAGAAACACCGGACTAAGCTTGCATATTAGCGAAGCAGAAAATATCGATTATTGTATTCTTTGATTTCTTTATGTATAGTAAGTTCAGGAATATCTCCATCCCGTCATTCACAAAAATAACGCAATAATAAGCTTTCGAGTAGGCCGTCAAACAACCTTCGCCACAGTATTACGCCAGGAGAAAAGAGATCATTAGAAGTAGCACGGTAAGAAACCTGTCCACTATATAAATATTTGTTTAACTGATATCCAAAATTTGACTATACTCAAAGCATATAAACACTAACTTTGACATGCTTGTTATAACATTCTAGTTCACCTTTATCGGTATCATTATTATATATTATTGAATAGAATCCGTTTCAATTCAGACTCGAGTGCAATCGATGGGATGCTTATCACCAAGAAAGAAAAATGCACAAGAAGTCATTTCATCATCTTAGAGAATGGGTTTTCCAGAGTCACAACACGTGAGCATGACATTGGCAGAAAGTAGAATGAAATAATCGGTAACTGACTGAGATACCCCTTCAGAGCACTGACAGATCTTTATTAAATTTAGGGAATTGAATTTGATAAATTAAGTTTGTATAAGGAGTTGTGAAAAGCTCACACATCAAAACATGAAAGACAGGAACCCTAACCTATCTATCCCACACTCCACGAAAGTCCAAAAGAAGACGAGCGTAAGAGAAAACCCCCCGATGATCTCCTGATTCCCATCTTAGGATAACAGCAAACCTCCCCGAGGAATTACACCAGGCTTAAGAGCATATTCCGTCACCAAAGTAATAAAACAGAAAGTTGGAAAAAATCACAGAATCTCTATCCCGTTCTGCCATTCCAAACCCCACTGAATAGGAAAACAAGGGCTTCTCAAAGGACCTAGTAGCGGGATAGCTAGACCCATACATACAAGAGACTGGCAAGTACCCGCTTTCTCCTTACGATTCACAGAGAGGGGAGAATCAGCGATCTATCTCATGAGATATCGCTTAGATAATGTCGATTTATTACTTCAAAGGAGGTGAAAGAAAGATAGAGAGGGGTTTACTGTAAGAAGTATTCATCCGAGGTACTGTAGCTAAAGATATTTGTTGTGGTATAATATTGTTTGAGAAAGTTCAGATAATGTAGTGCGTTAGGAGGAGTTAAGATACCAATCATCTCAGTTAACTCTTATATCTCAGGCTCTGTTTGAACGTCTCACTTTTTCAAAAAGATTCCGATATTAAAAACATAACGAAACAAAAGACTTAGGCACATTGAGAAAACTTGAACCCCATCCACCTGCCTGAATCCTAAGGATCTCCTATAATCGCCGCTATGACTGAAGTTTATACCAGTATGTCGTACCACAAATAGTCAATCAACATATGCATGGTATTATAGGTGAGCAATTATGATGTATGAACGGTCGAATCAATAGATGATTGATGAAAACTCTCTGTATACCTTGGTCCTTTCTGAGTGGTGGATAAATTACCAGTAAATTTCTCCAAGTGACAGCAGGCGAGGGGGATAGAGGTGCTAGAAAAGTGTCAAGCGAACGGGCTAGCAAACCTTCCACATATATATGACAACTTCTATCAACACCCCCCATATTGAATAAACATCTAATTCCCAACCCACGTATATTCTCTCCCCCTATTACCTTTCTTATCCCATATTCCAGTACTCATAGATGCCATAACAAGCCAAGTATACCAAACACCATCAACATCAAACAACCTCCAACCTCAACGCATCATACTGAACATAAACACTCTGCGACAGAACCGCACTCTCATAATCCGTCGCATTAGCCGGCAAACTCAACACCATCTCATTCGTGCCTTGCACCAGAAAGGACGGATCGAAAGAGAATTTATGCGCGATGTTGTAGCAGATGACTGCGGATCTTACGGCGCAGGAGGAGCTGTGGTAGTATCTAGCGCATGGGCAAGACGTCAGCTGTTGTTATAACACTGTGGGAGAGGGAGTATGAGAGCGGGAGTAAAACAAGAGGAAGAAAAAGAGACGAAGGGAGAAGAAACATACGGAATAACCCAAGGGACCAACTTATGCCCATTAACAACCACAACAAACTCCAAATTCGCATGGGGTTCCGAAGCATTAAACACATCCGTATTCCCCGCCGCCGTCTTCGCCCCCGCAAGCTGCACCGTCAATGTCGCCTCCCTCTTCCTCTCCACCATCCCCTCATCCATATCCCAAAGCACCGTCCAATTATTAACATTCTCCCACCACGGCTCCCTGCGTAGCGAGTTCGCATACCCCCCAAACGTACTCCAATGCACGTAATTCCAATCCTTCCCAACATCACTCTCGCCAACGGTGAAAGTCACGCCATCGGGAAAGTCAGTCGGGAAATCATGAACGGCCCAGTAGTTACGGTACTGGGCTGGTTTTAGGACTTTCGACTCCTCGCGTTCATACCCGTGTCGGTATTCCCCGCTACTTTTGTCAGGGACGCCGATGCGCCAGATTTCCTGCCCGGATGTTTCTTCGCGCCAGCGGGCGTGGGTGGTGTGCGTTTCTCCTGCGATGATGACGATGTCGTCTTTGATGTACTGTCCGAAGATGCCATCGGCGTAGATTGTTAGACGGTAGGTTCCTGCCTTGACGGAGGGGATGGTGACGAGGCCGGTGGTGGGGTCAATTTCGGCCCAGTATTGGTAGGCTTTTGTGTCGAGAGTGTTGTCTTGGAAGTCGACGCCTGGTTTGGTTAGGTTTGGGGATTGAAATTGGGGGTTGGAATTGGGGTGGAGGTACAGTACCGTTTTGAGCGAGAACTGCGAGGGGCTTGATCGCGCACGAGGGTAGATCGACGTGAGCTTTCCAGGTTGTTCTTCCTGAGGATGGGACGTAGTTTGGTATGTATTGTGCGATTGAATCGTAGAACTCGGTATTCCAAGTTGGGGAGTAGAATTGTCTTGCATCTTGGCGGAGTTCTTCCATGGATGTTGTAGGCGAGCCTTTGTTGAAGTAGTAATATTGCTTGAAATGAAATCAGATATGATATTCTCTCAGATATGATTTAGCTTACTGGTCCAAAGGTACGGTCAAATCCATTTGTAATGTTGGGAGTTCCGTCACCGTGATGATTTGAGACTTGAGAGTTGAAAGTATTAGATCATATAGAAGTTCTTGAGGAAGTCTTCATACCAATGTAATTGTATACAATACCATCAACAGCCAAATCCGAATGAAGTGGGCCACCAAAATAAGTATCCTTAGTATTCATTACAAGCCAAGACCCGAACGTAGAATTATCTTGACTAGTACTTCCATCTGAATACAATCCGTGGACATCATGATCTCTCCACGTATCTTGAAAAGTATACTTTGTGAAGTAATCTAATAGAACAATGTCACAGAGTCAGTAGAATTCTTCGTGTGTATTGAGGGAGTAGGAGTAAGAGCAGGGCTCAGGGTGAAATTCAAGGGATGTCCTCACCTGATTGTTGCTTCACATATTCGTCATCCGGCGTATTCCCAAGATACCAAGTAGCATCTTGAACCGTAACCTGTTTACTGACCGCCTCCTTCGAGGGCAAAGGAGCATATTGTTCTTCATTCGTAATCAAATGCGTCCAAAGCGGTGTATTAGGACGAAACAGCGTCCGAAATTCCTGCAAATTCCTCAGAAAGGGAGTCGTCTCATTATAATACGCCAGTCTGGAGAAAGTATGTAATCCGGTTTCTCCATCCCTCAAGAACCAATATTGCTCCAGTAGTTGCCCAGTTGCAGGATAAACTTCACTCATTACCACACCTCCATACGCAGTGTTGGTGGAATCAATCCCATGGATAAGCTGATATTTCGGGGCAATTGACCCAGGGGTGTAGAAACCTGATGGGGTACAGTAGCAATCCAAATATGGACCAATACCACTATTTCCAGAGCCAGTTGCTCCTCCTGGGACGGGTGTCACATAATTAAGAGTTCCCAGAAGATCTTGACCATCGAGTGACAGACGGTAAATGGTACCTGTGGATTTGTTGACTGCGGCATGTAATCGATCATTTTCCAGTATCTACCTACAATGAGTTACATGATATTTGAAAATTCAATAGAAACTAACCAACTGCTTTGCACTTTCAGTGGCATTCAGGAAAGCTACCACTTGTACAGCAAAGAACGATACAAAAAGTAAAATGTGGCTGACTCGTATCTGAGACGTGGAGGGAGTGGGCGCCATTGCAATACTTTCTTTCTACACGAATAGAGAGGTCATGAAAGAAAGGAAACAGTATACGTGGGAAGAAAGAGCGCATGGAATCTCATGACCCAACGTGATTTCAATAATGACATCGGATCGAAAGAGAAATAAATTGTGGAGTATAGAGTTGCGGCTCCAATGATGTTGCTCGGCATGAGTTAGCGCGAGACTGACTTGGATCCTATTGGAAAACCTAATGCTAGAAAGAATGGGGAAGAGGGGAAGAAGCACAATGATTAGATGGATAAATAGAATCCGGGGACCCCGGTTCCTGGGATCAAACGGCTGGGACGGAAAACCAGACTCATGTGGTCTAGGTTCCCCACACTTTGGAGCTTAACGAAGATACATAGGGTATAGGTTAGAAAAACGATACGAGACGTGGCAGTCATAATGAAGTTTTTGGTCATGATGAGATTGGTTTTCTACCAGCCTTTTTTCATGGCGATTTGGAATTTTCTAGCCTACAGAAATGTTAATGATCGTCAAAAACGGGGGACTCCAGGATCAATATCATACCCAAATTGTGAACTCGTCCTCTTTCCCTTCCCAGTTTTGTAGAAGCAATTCTGCAGCGGTAAACGCTTTGAAGAAACACTCGTCCATCCTCTTATCAATCGCAACTCCATCAAGTTCGTAAAAGGCATTGGCAAGCTCATCAGTTATGTCAGGAACTGAGGAAAACACGGCAAGTACCTTATCCAAGCAGCTTACAATACCAGGATCCCCACCAGACTTTTCCTTCAACTCTGGAGGTAGTTGAGGATGGGGAATAGCTGGGAGGGTCTTCAAGCGACGCTTCATGACTGCATCGTACATAAGAACAATCAAGCGTAACCGCTTCTGAGTCGACTCCAGACGAGGCCTTACTTTTTCGGGGTCATCTGAAGGAATATGATGATGGGATGCAAACATCTCATCCAAGGCATCTTGGGCAGAATTTTCGATAGCATCTTTCTCGGCATCATCAACATCTGATGCCTCATCCTCCCCATCGTCAGATTCTTCGGCCCCCCACTCCTGCAACTCTTCTAATGCATCTTTGACCAAATCTCGATATTCTTCTGCCCTTTTAATCATCAAACCAGCCACTCCAAGCGTCTTTAATTCAAGGACAGCATCACAAGCATCCCACACTAAGCCGGTGGAAGCCAGACTTCCTTTGCCGCCCCCATTCTTCTGGTCGCTGCTCAGAACTTGGCCATCCAGAGGGATTTTCTTAACCAGACTCCCAAGTTCTGTAAAGACCTTATTAGCACGATATCGGAGCTCCTTGCTCGCCGCGCTTGTGTATTTTTCTGCCGAGCAGAGTTCGACGGCAGAAGCAAGGCCAGGTAATGGACCGGCTACGAGTTCTCGGAGGACCGTGGTGATGGCAGACGCAGTAAATGGTTTGTTGATGATCAAGAGAGAGAGCTTCGTAGAATGTGCCCGTATCAAGCTGGCCGAGTCAAAAGAGAGTTGAAGAGCGTCAACTTCGTTGGTGGACTTTTCGTTCTTGGCCTTTGCGACGGGGTTTTCGGTCTCAGAGGAGGGGTAGGACGACGATGTCGAAGATGTTGTAGAGGCAACGAGCTTTGCAATTATATCGGAAGTTGTGCTGACGGTGACCTTGAGTGCAGCGAGACTCTGGTCTCCTTTTTTGGCGTCTTCTGCATCTGGCATTGTGTGCTGTTGCTCCTTTTTCGTGAAGGAAGGATGTTGTTGTGGCGGGGTCGAAATCCTTTTTTTGCTCACAGCTCCGTACATAGCAGACATTCAGCCGAGGCGCGTCACTCTTCGCGACGGGACCCTCAACACCAACCTTCCCCAAACTCCACCACAACGCCATAACACCATGCTCCATTGACATCCCATCCCTCATTACTTCTTGTTTCGAGTATTTTAAGCCGCGTGCCAGAAAAGCAATAAAATGGCACCACGGAAAGATCCACCCAAGTCGGAGCCTCCTCCGCCCAGTCGAACGCTTATCATCGACAATGGCGCGCACACTATGAAGGCTGGCTTTGCTTCACCCGAAGACGCATCAACTGATTCTACTAAACTCCAAAAACCTTCCGTAATTCCAAATTGTCTTGCCCGCGATCGCGATCGAAAGGTGTACGTTGCGTCACAGCTCTCCAAATGCACCGACTTCAACGAAATAGTTTTTCGTCGCCCGGTGGATAAGGGATATTTAGTAAATTGGGAGGCCGAAAAAGAGATATGGGATCACGAATTCTTCAACAAGAATGCGCCATTACACTGCGATCCTACAGAAACAGGATTGATTCTCACCGAGGCCCCGAATGCCCTACCACAACTTCAGACCAACTGTGACCAGATGGTGTTTGAGGAGTTTGGATTTCCGAGCTATTATCGTTGTGCTGGTATGTTGATTTGCGCTACATTTTTCCGTGAAAAGGCTTGCAGTAGTAGCAGCAGCTGACATTTTTCTCCTAGCACCGACTTTAAACGCGTACAACGATATCCAAGCCTTGTTCCCTATTCCCTCCCGTGCTCCTCTTCCACCTCCTCAGCTTCCAGCGGAAATTCTTCTTCTAATCGACTCGGGTTATTCGCATACCACCATTACTCCTCTTTTACAAGGTCGTCCGCTCCAAACCGGAGTTCGGAGGTTAGATGTGGGAGGAAAACTATTGACCAACTACCTTGCTCGCATTGTATCCAGGCGCCAATACGACATGAGGAATGATACGTACCTTGTCAATGAAATAAAGGAAGCATGCTGTTATGTTTCGAGAGACTTTAAGGGCGATATGGAACGAACATGGAAAGGTCCAAAAGGCGACCGAAGAGAGGCATATACCACGGGCGGGGGAATAGCCAAGGACTATGTTCTACCTGACTACCACAATCGGTCCAAAGGTTATGTTCGGGACCATGATCCTTCTGCTGCGGGAAAATTAAAAGCCTTAGTAGCAGGCAAGTCCGCTGAAGCGATCGAAGATATTCTCACTTTGAGAAACGAGAGATTTACGGTACCAGAAATAATCTTCACACCTTCCGATATTGGAATGCGACAGTCCGGCTTAGGTCAATTGGTGTTGGACAGTTTATCCGCTCTGCCGTTTGGACTTTGGCCTGGATTCCTCGCAAATATCGTACTTGTTGGGGGTAACGCGAATATCGAGGGCTTCATTCAGAGACTCGAGATGGAAATCAGATCTTTGGCACCATCAGAATGCATTGTCAGAGTTTCGAAGCCTCCTGATCCCATTATTAGTACTTGGAATGGTGGAGCGGTTTTAGCTCGGAACCCGGATATACTGAAAGGGTTATCGGTAACGAAGCAAGAGTATGAGGAAAATGGCCCAGCTTGGGTTGCTAGGAAGTTTGATGGGAGATGATGTTCATGTTCAAATTTATGATACCCTCGAAAACGTTGCAATATATGTTTAGTTTTCCTTGAAACTGATCCTTCTGGGTAGTAGGACGCAATGGTGGCTCTTTTCTTTCCGCCTTTCCATGAGTCTGGAATGCAATACCATGTTAGAACTAGAGGAGTTTTTAGCAATTCTTTTGGGGCTAGAGGAGTCATGGTGGCGCCGTTTCGAATGGTTATGCTCCTGACCAAAAACATCCTCAATCATTCCATTCCATTTTCAGAAGCCTTTCAAGTTGGTAAAATAAACCTCGTTTCAGGTGTTTCGTCAGCTTGTAAATTCTCGAAGCCACACACAAGTTGGGGCTCGAAAGTTCGACTTCTGACATCGTTGAAAGTTTGAAAGGGGATTTTCGTATAACGTCGTTGTATGCGAGTCCTACGCTCATCGAGTCTTGCGCTGGCCTACCTACCTACTTTCTCACTCAAACATACAGAGCAAGTAATGTACTCGTAGTGAGTCGACAATCTACATAGCGTCTGCTGGGACACTGTGGACCAAGCGTGAACTTTTACAGTACTGTAGTGGCCTCGCCTAATTCCCCCTGTTCTGTTTTGGAACATTAAGATGGTGAGAATATCGCCCGCAGAGAAACGACTGTTGATACGGGTTCTGATGAGGACATTTGTGATTATTGGTATGGATTGGTTGGCAAGTTTGAGAGAAGAAACTTTGGTTTGTTAGAGAGTGGAAGGGAGAGGCGGTTAAGGGCAGGTCTGGTGTTTCCTGATTTTTTTATTTATGCTAACTGTTAGACTTAGTTGTAATCGATGAGGGCATATGTCACATGGCTGACTGGCTCGTCTGGGTCTTTAGGCACCCAACTTTATATCGAGAGAAGGGGTTGTGGTCGAAGGGATATCTTCAATTCAAGACTTCACCTGGGCACCTCACAGGGCACTTAGGCCCTGTTTGTCACCGCGAATTATATGACTGAATTATATGGTCAATTATAAATACAATTGCGGATTTCGTATAAAATATAATTTAGGTATTATTTGTAACGGAATTATCCTTTTCCGGGAGCCGTATGTAATTCATCCCCTACTTATACCTAGGTACAATTTACCTTACCCTCTTATTTACTTATACTTCACCTCTTTTTGTTATCACGAACCGCGCACTTAAGCCTTAAAAAGGTAGCTACATACGTACGGCTCCGCCTATACTATATATAGGCACTTCTACTAATAGTCGAAAGATATATATTAATAATTAATAGGACAGAATTATAAAAATAAACAAGTAGTACTAGTAGTTCAGAAAAAAGTATTATAAGCTAGGTTATTCAGCTTCTAGGAGGGCGATGTACTTAAGATGTAACTGTAATTAAGTAAATAATATCCTAAAAGCTGATTATATCATTTTAGTAGGAGCAAATTGTTTTATTTCGAAAAAAAGTAAGGCCTGTTTGGCTCGCCTAATTTAGAGATTTGTACTAGGTGTAAAAGTGTGACGGTTCTCACCGCCACCATGCCTCAAACCAGCCCCTGGCTGGCACCCGTCGGCCGCCGTGCTTCCCGAGCCCGGCTCGGTTAGCTATAACCCTTGGTACCCCTCCTGTATATAAGAGCTTCCAGCTCCTGGACTTCTGTCCTTTCTTCTCTTCTCTCTTTAGCTTAGAATCTTCGAATAGACAGTTCTACGATTCCATAACCTACACCTTGGACGCTCTCTGAGCAACATCTCGTACGTGTCGTCACAAAAAGTCTTAGATTTATACGGTTTAGAGGACCCCCAAGCACTTCTATAAAGGTTTCCTGATTTATATGTAAATTAAACTATTATAACAAAACAAATATACTACTGTTTAGCTGGTATAAAAGTTTTTTCTGTTTTGTTATATATTTATTGATTTTTGTATATAGGATAGGGATATTTGTGCGGAGATTTGTACAAATCTTAAAACTAAAGGGTTAAGGGTTTAATTCTTTTATAAGGGGTTTTAGGTAGTGTAAATCTAAAAAGAATTATATTTACAATTTATAACGAATTTATGATTAGTATAAAAGAAATTTTTGCGACTATCTAAACAAGCGCGTGTATCCTAAATTACATGCAAATTAGATTTGCACACATATCTTTTTATATAGTACAAATCACTAAATTGGGCGAGCCAAATAGGCCCTAATATAATTGAGTTGCGTTTAGCACCGTGAAAAAAAGGTCAATTATTTTAGAAAGTCATATAATTCGATAAAATAATTGGTGCCAAACAGGGCCTTAATTAGCTCCGTAAGGATACCGAGTAACCTTGCTAGATTTCGACAACACCATATAAACACACCAAACACATATATACACCACATATCACAAGAATCTCCACCAAATACCCCACCAGGGCGACCACTAACAAGTAGTAGCCCCCGTAGTCGGTGCAGGACTTGTATACGCCCCCCCTGCATCGCCCAGACATTCCGCAACTGTGATCATCTTCAGTCGCTTGCTCTTCGCCCAATTCAGTACCCAAGGCAGGAGCGTCGTGCTCGTCGTCTGCACCGTCTCATGCATAAGCGGAATATGACTAGCCGAGCTACTACTCGAAAACTTGCCCTCACTGGACGCAGGAGACTCCTTATTCCAATCGCCCGAATCAATATCCCACTTCACAATCCGATATCCAAGCTGCTGCATCACACTAACCGTCTGGCCCCCCGAGTTCCCATTGGGCGGACGCATATACGTCGGTTTCACACCCAAGATGTTAGCGAACGCCGTCTCCAGCTTTGTCATCTCGAGTCTGGCGTCGGCGGCAGACTTGGTGGATAGATCGGCGTGGGACCAGGTGTGCGAGGCGATTTGGTGGCCTGCGTCGTAGGTTGCTTTGAGCTGCGCGCGTTGGCTGTAGATGCAGTTGTACAGTGTGCCGGTGACGAAGAAGGTGCCCTTTGCGCCGGCGGCGTTGAGCTGGTCGACGATGGATTTCTCGTATTGCCACGGTCCATCGTCAAAGGTGAGGGCAATTGTATTGGGGGTGACGCAGTTTTGGATTACGTTTCCTGCGGCGGGTCCGGCGCGTGGGTCTAAGATGGAGAAAGAGTTGGATGCGAGAGCTGCTGGATGGGCAGAGGTGAGGGGGAGGAGAAGGGCGAGGATGGCTGGTGTTGACAGCATGATGGGTTTCTTCTTTTCTGGATGTCTGGACAAGGTGCGGATAGACTCCATAACCAAACATAAAGAACAAGAACCATGCTACTTATAAACTCCGAGATCTCCTTATCTATCATGGAATAACATTCGAATCTCCCCCTCTATACCCGCTTGACCGGAACCGTGATTTTACCCCCCATCCACAACACTTATCCGCTATCCAGCTTTTCTACTCGACACAGCGCCAAGTAGACCCATAACAACTTGATTTGCTCAAATGGATACAAAAGTCATGAAGCGCCCAAAAATAATCTTGGGAGAAATGAGAAAAGAAGCTCGTGATGTACTGGGAATTTGCAATCGCCAGCAACTTTGTCTTGGCATCTAATTAGGCACATTTACCCCACACTTTGGCTTTACGTCCAAAAGTGGGCCAATTACGGGAGGTGACTGTTTGTTGTACTTTGAATGTTTGAAATGCGATCAGCAGAAGTGCGAGTATGGAGGATAGATAGGAGCGTGCAGTTATGTTATTTGAAGTGATGAGGCATGAAGTCTGCTGGGGACGACTTTAAGCGAACGACGAACTTCGCGGAGCACCTTGTTACTGTACTGCGATGCCGTAACTGCATGAGATGGGTGTTTTCAGGAACCACTTTTCTCATATTTTATGTCGAAGCAAGAATTAAGATGTTACGAACCATGAAGCTGTTGGTTCATTTGTTTGAAATTTCGGTTTTCAGCGTACTTGCTACCTACTAGATACAAATTTCGTATTTTCCCACCACATGAATACATTCCTATCTACCACCAGATGGGAGGAGTCTGAAGTATTTATAGCGGAGAGAACCAAAACGTAATATTTCCAACGCCTTTTGCCTAGCACCATCTGAACTTTTTGCGATATGTATGGAGTTCTCTCTAAAAGCCATGTTCGTCTTAGCCCTTTTATTACAGGATTAAGAGTAAGAGACCTGGTCAATACTCTCTACACGCTATATTGAAAAGTAATTATGTTGAAGTCTTAGTATAGATACCATACGTCCCTGCTTATCTAGCTATTAAAAAATGAGAAGTGTTAAGTATCGTAAGCTATTCGTATAGCTAATCTAGTTGTGAGACATTTCTAGAATAATGCTGTCTCAACCTAGGTGTGTTCAGTGTAATGACCACGTCTTTCAGAGAACTCTTCAATTGTAAAGTACAACTACGAACACACTTAGTGAATACCAAATATCTCCCCCGAACCCCACCTCTCACGTGCCTACCCCCATCACCGGCCACTATTCGGCACAATCGCAACATCTAATTGGCGAAAACCTGGTCCACAAACCAAAATTCTAGTCATATCTCCAAATAAGCCCTCCACCATCACAGAACTTGATACTGTGCGCCTGGTCAAGTCAGGAGGTGTTCAAAGATTTGGAAATGCGTTGAACCACAAAACAATACTTGAGACGTTGGAACTCCAAAAAAATAGTGTTTCAGGGAAACCCCCGCTCAAAAAAAGTCATTTGGAGGTCTCAAGTATGTGGGAAGGATAATCTAACACCCTCTTGTTCCATTAAAAAATCTAGGTAGCTAAAAGCGCTGCTAGTGGGGCTTTCTCCTAACAGATCGAAAGTTCTGTATAAGGTTTTGTTGGTTGAATCTTCGGGGTACCTTTTTTTGGAGTTTTCCAGATGGTGGTATTCACTTGCTCGCTTATGGTATCATACGTACCCTCAAAATGCAAAGGCTGTAAATCTCTGGCAAATCTGATCTGTTCCTTTAAGCGTTCTGTCATTCCATTTGGAAACATAGATATTATTTAAGACCGTCGAGGTAGAGCTCTACATGTAGTAGCAGTGGAGTAGTCATGAATATGAGACACCTACCAGCGTGGACCTGATTTACGTTAGATAAGTCGTCTTCTGATTAATAGTCACAGATCTGGTAGAGCTCAAAGATTCCAGTAAAATGAAATTTGATTTCTTATCGCTGTGCAACATGACTTCACCGCGGCGCCTCAGGAACTAGATATCTGCTCTTTGCAATAAACGCAATTGTCCCAACCCTGTTACTGGCCTGCTCGTGACTCTGCCTACACCTAAAAAAGTCATTATGCCAAATTTCTGGCACAAGCAACTTTGTGTATTATCATGGCAAACCCGGCTTGATAGTTGGTCCAAATTGCCAATTATTCTAAACCGTTTTAGTCATCCGAGTATTTGGGAACAACATTGATATTTTGACTTACAGCGGTGTCTCAAGCAATGACCGCATCTCTTGTGTCTAAGCAAGACCCAAATAATTCATAGGCAGCGTTTATCTCTCCCTTGTACAACTCAGTTGTTTCTCATCTTAGCACTGTTTCTTTGCCGCTTCGACTGAATGGCTTCGACGGATCGGCAACAATGACAAGTTCCTTGAGTATCTTCACATAATCATAACACGTTTCATTTGCAGCTTCAACAGCAGGCCAAAAGGTTGAGACAGTGGTATCCGAATCCTCTACTGCAGCTGAATTCGATCTGTTGAGCTCAACAAGAAGAAATGGCCTTTCGCGTCCATTTCCCCCAACAAGTGCTGTATGAACAAGCGGCTGCTTCGCGATCAGTTCTTCGAGAACTGCAGCGCCTACAATACTGCCGCCAGCCAGAATGAAAACATCGTCGGTACGGCCGGAGTATATCCAAAGACCATCCTTTTTAGGATGCTTCCGGAAAAGATCCTTCGTATGGTATTTCTGAAGTTCCGGATAAACCATGAATATTTGTTGCCATAGAGCATCTGCTTTTCTCTCAAAGACCAACTCAAAAAGATCGTTTGCTTATGGCTCAAAAATGATTCCCTGACCATCACGGAAACGGTAGTACTGCCAATCATCGGGATCCTCACATAATAGCGTAAGATATGGGCCGGCCTCTGTAGTCCCAAAGGCCGGACTCATTCGAACATAGTCTTTGAGAAGATCGCCAATGGCCTTTTCTAAGGGCGCCCCACCCCAGTTGATGAAGTCGAGGTTTCTTACAAGTTCGAGCGATACAGGATCTTGACAGAGTGCTTTTAATAACAAGGGTGGTCCTACAAAACCTTCAACTTGTCCTAATTGTAGGACTTGGGCTGAAAGTTTGGAACTTGGTAGCTTTGTTGAAGGTCCAAGAACAATCGTTGCCCCCAACCGGACCGTTCATTGCAGCGCTTCTATCATGCCAACTTGCTGCAAAACATTAGTCTACTAAAACGTTAATTGGAGAGGAGTGCGCACGTGGAACATAGGGATAGGTGAGTACACCCTCCGATTTTTAAACAAGTTTGCTTGTGCTATCTGATCTGCATCGGGTGGGTAATGTAGAAGCAACATCAAAGACAGTCATCATCTTATTTGTAAGTGTTATAGGTTTTGGGAGTCCAACAGAAAATTCAGCAAAGGTAACAACCATATCGAACCTTGGTTACAGACCTGTCGTTCCGGATGTGTGGAATATAATCCATGGATCGTCTTTTCCTTCTTCCCATGTTTTGTTGTATTTATAAGGCATGGCTTCTTTTTCCGTGATTCATTTATGAAGTTGCGGAGCTGCAGCTCTACGTATTGATGGTCGAGTCGCCAGGATATTTTCAACAGAAGTCTGCGAAGTCTGGGCAAAGACAAACGCCGAACATTTCGTTTGGTCAAGTAGATAGCCCTTTACTGCGTCCGGTGCAAGTGTAAACGGCAGGAGTATCTATTAGGAAATCATTAGATATGCAGCACTACCAAGAGTCCTAGGCAGTTACCTTTCTTCCTGATTTACTGTAGCAACAGCAATAATAGCCACACGAGCATCCGGTGGGCCTATATAAGCGAATCCTTCAAAGTCAGAAGTCGGAGAACCTAGAACCAAGTCTAGCCAGTGTGCAGCATGATTAATAGCATTTGAAAATTGCCTGAAAGTAACATCAAGAAATCCTTTACTCAAGTCGTTGTCATCCCGAGGCATCGAAACCCAGACTCGTTCAGGGGTTTCTCGCGCAATTTCATCAATTCTAGAAGCCAGAAGCCTCTCACCTTGGTTTTTTTGTGTCGTCATGATTGTGTTACGTTGTGATAGTTGTGTCTATTGCCAATTCATTAGATGAGGTGTTCAGTCAGAGTTTCTAGACCAAGTGGGACCAACAAGGACTATGTTGGTGATGACTGGGCTTACAAGTGAATACTGCTACTAGGAACCCCGCTATGAGGATACTGTAACCTCGGTTATATCCTTAAGGATTTGGGTTTCGTTTCGGTCACCATCCTTTTGCGTATACAAGGACATGTGAGGTATTGTAGTGGGCATTCATAAGCCAAGAATGAATTTCCACCCCCGTGTCCGCAACCTGACCAACTGACTTCCAACATCCACCTCTCTCACTCAGCAACCACCGATCGACCAATTTCGAAGCCCCAAAACGTTTCTCCCACTATATGACATCTACAGTTTTCAAAGTCGTCGAGCATCCAATAAAATGCCAGCACATACGAGAATATCATGGAGGAATGAGACCTGGTGCTGCTCCATTATCCCTGTATGTAAAAGAATACATTCCTCTAAACAATATTGAGGCCGAATAAGGGTCTATAACAATCATTGCCACCCATGCCAATGGTTTCCCAAAGGCAAGTTGCCCAATTTATAGGATTTTGTTATTATTGTATTGACATGGATATCACAGGAGGTCTATGAGCCACTCTTTGAGGAGATTGTTAAGTTATGTCCCAATAAAATTCGAGGTATATGGATCGCCGATTGCGCCAATCAAGGACTTAGCGGGGTTGTAAATGAGGATTTACTGGGCGATGATAGTTTGTTTTTCTTTGAATGGCGAAATATGGGTATGCTAATCATTTAAAAGCATCTTGGTTTGATCACTCCCGAAATCTTCTTGGTATGGTGAATCACTTTAGGGAACGCATGATTCCCCCTATCTTCGGAATAGGTCATAGCATGGGGTGTGCTCAACTGTAAGAACCGAGGTCTAGAAAACTGTGCATATAGCTTACTTCTGTAGCGTTCGGTTATCTATACTCCATCCTAGTCTCTTTTACGGAATGGCTCTTGTAGAACCCGTCAAACAAAAGGCCTTTCCTCCAGGTCCCAACCCAGCTTTGTTCTCTAATTTCCGCAGAGATATTTGGCCGAGCAAAGAGAAATTCGAGGCTTCTATGATCAAAAATCTGTTTTTTGGTTCACTTGATGCTCGCGCGATGAAAAAGTACCTTGAGTTTGGAGTTCGTCCTGTGCCAACTAACTTCTATCCTGTGACGGGAACAGCTAGGATTCCTGAAGGAGCAGTCACATTAACGACGACAAAACATCAAGAGGCTTGGTCCTATGTTCGCGCCAATATTTTCCCTCTTTCTCCAAGTCCAGATGACCCACGAGAACGCTTGATTACACCCGAACTAGATCCCACAGACGAAGGAAAATTGATTTCTACTCGACCAGAGTCAATGTTGGCGTTACTTGATTTACCTCAGTTGCGTCCCAGAGTGCTGTGAGTCTATGGGTCTGAAAGTCCAATCAATTCAGAATACTTGCAAGAAGAAAAGAGGAGGTTGATAGGGAGCGGAAGAGGTGGTAGTGGAGGAGTTAACTTGAAAAGAGTTGAGGAGTGTGTTATTGAGAATTATGGTCATTTGGTTCCACTGGAGAAAGTGTCTGAGTGTGCGGGAATCATAGCAGAATGGCTGGAGAAAGAAGCAAGAAGGTTCCTTCAAGATGAAGGGGTTTTCCGCACGCACAGTAGACAAGTGTCCACTGAAAATGGGCTAGCTGTCTCTAAAGAATGGGTCAAAATGGTTCAGATGGAAACTGACTCCAGCCGGCCTCTCAAAGGAAAGCTCTAGGCGAATCTTTATTTGTTCACTTGCTTTCTTTTGTAATGGAAACATTCAGCCCAGCCTGATGCCAATGTATTTGAGTTTAGCACAGAAAGTTTCCTAGATTCCTTCAAACAAAAGAATTGTGTTCAGCTCTCTAAAGCATTGCCACAACCCAAACCAGGACAGCCAGCCATCAACTACGTCAAATTGAGAGAGTTCAAACTACTGAGGTGGTCTGCTTCCCTGTATGCCACACCATCTGTAAGGATGCAAGTCCATCGCTACTCTCAGTTCTACCACCCGCGTATAAGTGCTGCCCTTCTAACACATCTCTCGCCACTTTTATTTGCATTTCCTGGTTTCTCACATCAGCCTTTAGTGAGCGATGATACTGCCTCTGAGATGAAGTATTTGATACGGGTACGGTTTAGGATACAAGTACGATTCCAGACAAGCGGAGCCATGGTTGGAACTAAGCCATATATGTGTGAGCCTATTTCCTCGGGGTGCTCAATGGGGACGAAAAACGTTTGACTTACGATATGCTGCAATTATGCTAGTATTTGGTTCAATAACAGACCATAGCGAGCAGTAGAAGGTAGTTCTTGAAAATTGACGATCCACTTGACTAATTTTTGGTAGACGGACAAAGTACACCACACGCATGGTGGATGCAACCACACAGCTACAATTTCGGTAAGAATTTTCGTAGAATGCAATAGATACTAGGAAGACCCACAATAGACCCAGGCCAAAGATACCAGAAACTATTATCTTATCACGTCGACTCATATGCAGGCCTTTAATCACAGATAACGGCAGCGTCAGTACCGCCAAGTCAAGAAGCATATTCAGAACAGCGGATGCTATTAGGAACTGAGGATAGTTGATAGAAGTCTGTGCCGTTCTATCGTACGAAAAAGAAAATATGGTGACCTTGCGAAAGTATCAGTACAACTGGTTTTCTAAAGTAAAACAAATCGTAAAGCAATACTCACTAGAAGTACCGCGATGAACCAACATATGGATACAAGTATGAGAATCAAGCTCGCGATTAGAAACCTTACGTACACAATTATCTTTCTGTAAAAGAGTAGAAGACCAATCCTGACCAAGGTGATGGATACAACCCAGATAATTTGCCCAGCATAGATTACCTGTATCCAAGTTCAACTCAGTATTTCTAAGATGTCGAATCCATTCATACCTTTGAGTAGATAGTTATGCGCCCGTAAATGATCAAATATTCTACTGGCCATCCTAGCCCTCCTCTTACTGCGCCCCAGATAGCTTGGCCGCAATTGGCGGAGGCGAAAACCTGGAAAGGATAGATATTAGTTATCCTCTTGGGTTCTTAGGCGGCAGATTTACCAGCCCTGCAATGATAAAATAGTCATCAGCTCCAAGGGGGACCTTCTTCAGGCCCTTTTGAGCTAATATGCGTAAAGCAACAGCAATGGTTGAGAGTATTGGAAGCATAGTACAGACGGCGACCGCAGCAATAGCGTCGGAAAACTGGCGGAAGATTTTATCGTTGACAGCCAGATGTAGACTAGCGGTCCCATTAGATTCCATGATCTTATTCCTGATATTTTCATTGCATTTCCTTGTTAAAAGGGACAGAAGCTGTTAAGAAGCTATTGTGCGGGAAGTTATCAGATGGTGGCTGAATTTGGTTGTAGAAATTTTAGAAGCTTTTAAAAAGCACAGAGAGCGAGGCTAGAGGAGATAGGTGACCAAATTTGAGGGGGGATGGGATATTGACAAAGCAACGTACAAATGAAAGAAGTGATTGGTACGCATCAGTTATGCAACTGGCATAGCATACAATCAGATCAATTGGACTTAAAATTCACCACAAATCACTTTCCTGGTTATCTGTGAAACAGGTAGCTTATAACACCAGCAGTGATCTAGTCATGAAGACTTAGGACATTCAAAGGCCAGTAATTTATGCTGCACAGGTTAAGGGGAGGGTTTAGCGGTTTGTGATTAAAGGGATACAAGGGATCTGGGTAGTGCGTATGTTATAACCGAAGACAGGATAGTAATACCTCAGTAGTTTCTATCCCACATATCATTACTGGTGACACAAGCAGTGATCTTGATAACAAGGACGAAGGTGCTAATTTAGAGTCTTCTTCTACATGCTACTTACTGACTGAGACTACAACTCAAAACATTTGAGCCCATTTTATATCTCCTAAGTATTGAAGGCCCCAGAAAATTAAGGGCCGAAACACCTACTTTTAGCAGTTAAAGTTGAGGTCCTTTCCTTGCTTTTTTTTCTTCCAATAGGTGTCCTGGATTATTGCTGTGTATTATCTCATGATGCTACCACTACATCCTTCATTGAATCAATCGCACGTTGTTTTATTATTCGGAGCTTATTCTCCCGTCAAGTTGTCAGCTACCTCAGCCGCAGAAACGATGAAACAAACCACCTGCATGCCCATAATGAACTGACTTTCACTGCAATAAGCCCTAGTGTCTTGACGATTTGAGAGTAGTTCAGAGTATTAGCAGCCCTAATCATATGGTACAGGATTACAAGTTCTGTGATTTTCTTGTACGCAACGCCTCTATTCTCTTTAGGGTTGAGCCTTGTTTTGTTGTTATTGCTATGCTAAGCGAGATTTTTTGTGAGGCACTCACACATTGTAAGGCAACGACTTTTATGTTCACAGAATGTCTACCTGCCACCACCTAGCCCAAATAAGATGCCAAACCCCCAGTTGAACAGTTTAATAACACCCCTATGCTCACGAAAAGGGTGTAAATTGTAGTTTACAATGCTCAGGGACAACCCTAAGTAGCCTCTTAGGCAGCTACTCATGTTTTTGTTTCTTTTTTCCCATCCCTTGTTACCTTGTTATCAATTCCTTGGTTCATTCTGCTGCTACTAGTTTTATCCAGAGACTCCAACCAAAAAAAAAAAAAACAGCGAACTAATCTCCAAATCTAATTAAGAGCATCCAACTCCAGCAAAATCCAATATCAGTTTCCTCATAAACACAGCAGCCGTCCCAGCTCTCTTTCCTTGAGTTGAGTTTCTCAGTCCTCTATCAGGTTATTCACCATTAAATTTCCATTCACACAGGATCAACTCTGCTTCTTACCCCACACTGTAATCAGGTACAGGTGGCGCTACAGCAGAAATGATGATTAATTTTCTATTGTAATCAACAGTATTTCCTGCCATCCTGATACTATGAGCAATTTGCTTCCACTGATACACGAACCTGAACCTCCTTCTCTGGAACCTCAGAGCAAGTGTTATCATAAGAATTTCACAGGAATATAGAAACCCTGGGTATAAAATAACTAACGAGATAATCGCCAAACACACAAAGACCCTCCAAGACTTCCACACCCTTAAGGGTCTCCCAATATCTTATCATACCAATTCCTCTCAATACGTTTATCCTCTAGACATTGAATATTCTTAAACATGTATCCTAAATGCAGCAACTGATCTTCGCTAGCTGATGCTGGGACCAGTAAGATTACTCCAGAATGTCGCCGAGGTACGTATTTTCCGGTCTATCACCGCATAGATAATACAAATTCTCAGCTCACATATCTCTCGTATGAATGTAGCATACCTCCGCCATGAGTTTGCACGTCATCGGTCATTTCAAAATAGCTCAAAAACTACCAATCGGACAAGAAATATCAGTCTCTGAACTCGCAAACCAACGCAAAATACGAACCCCAAATCTCCGTAGAATCCTTCGGTATTCCACAAAACAGCAGATCCTCAAAGAAACCCCCTCAGGCTCGATAAAACATACAGCAGCCTCAAGAGCTATTCTCCAAGTCCCATTCTTGGACCAGTAGCTAGAGATGTCAATGGAAGAGCTGTAGCCTGCTACTACTGATGTAGTCACAGCGATGGATAAATGGCCTGATAATGAGGAGCCTAATGAAAGTGTAGGCTGCTCTCCTTTCCTTCCCCTTGCTGGTGTAATCCAGTATCTGATAATCTGACGCGAAATCAAGGATTCAACATAGCCCAAACCACTAACTTAACAGCCTATGCGAATTCGAGAAAGACGTTGCTCGAGAGAAGAGATTCGCCGACGCCATGAGTGTCTTTCACCAGGACCCTGGATTTGCGCCAGGGATTTTGGTTGACCACTACGATTTTGCGAGTTTTCATCACGGTGTGTTCGTGGATATAGGAGGTTCACTTGGTTTTATCAGTATCGATATTGCAAAGAAGCATCCAAGTATGCAACTGGTGGTACAGGAACATCCTGAGGTTGTGAAAGAAGGAAAGGAACAATTACCCTCCGAACTCGCTAATAGAGTAACATTCATGGCGCATGATTTCTTCACCGAGCAGCCGGTGAAGAATGCAGATGTGTATTATTTCCGATGGATCTTCCACAATTGGTCAGATAAATACGCGGTGGCGATATTGAAAAACCTGATTCCAACATTGAAGAAAGGTGCGGAAGTTGTCGTGTCTGACCTTTGCTTACCACCACCGGGAATGCTGCACGCCGAGACAGAACGCACCCTAAGGTACATCTCTGTTGCCTACTCTCAACCACAGTGAAACTGGTTAACAAATGGTCAAGGATATATGATCTATGCATGATGGAGCTCCAGAATGGAAAAGAGATAGATTCGGGAGACTGGAAACAACTCTTCCTCGATGCCGACAAGCGATTTGTCTTTGAGGGTGTTACACAGCCGACGGGGTCTGCTCTTGCTATTATTGAAGTGAGATGGGATGGAGATGCGACATCCAAGTAGATTTCTTACATGATACACTTGGGCTTCTGGTTGGATGTGTTCCCAGAGTTTCTTCACTATTTACCGTCAATATGTTATCTTCAGGTTCAGTCTACACCCATGATTAGCTATGTCAAGTAAACTTTTTGTGAGGCTTGAAGATACAATATATATAATATACAGTATTATCAAAAACAGATTGTCTTTAGACTCCCCTCAACTTCCCCCTCTCTCCGGGAGACCAAAACAAAACACCCACCCACACGTCGACTACACTTAATCACTCTTCTAGTCCCTATCGCCTCCATCTATATCCCCTACAACAACCGTCTTAAAACCAACTGTACATAACTGCCCCCAACCAAAAACACCAAACCAAAAAGTACAGCCCAAAACCCCAATTTCGAACCCGCTAAATGTCACTTACACAAACAACCATTACAACCCATCCATTCCAAAGCTGCAACAGAAGTATACCAATTCCTCTATATCAGTAGATAGTCAGAAAATGCCAGTGTTATGAAATCCATCGGCTTTGTATCCCATCACAACCCTGTTATCGTCCTTGATGAGACCCTCGAGGTTGGCTGCTCGTGTTACCAGAGATAATTTGGTAGTGGAAGGTAAGATTTACCCTCGCGTACTCTCTGTACTGTATTCGAGACGGAGAAAAGACGAGAGTAGAGCATCAAAACAGACAACATTCGATAATGAGAAACCTTCCCCTACGGTATACAATTTGTAACGATAGTCCGTCCACCAACGATTCTCCATCTACGCCGGACGAACGAGGAATTTCTTTGATATCGACTCTCACTTAACGTTTCAATACCCCTCCATCTCTGCACGACATTTTCCATTCCAAAATCGCAATATACAGACCACTCATAGAGCCAGCCATCTTGACAAGGTCATCCACCCACGGTACTGCAAACCACGTCCTTATACCTCTTGTTAAAACCCAGAAACCCAAGACGAACGTGCCATATTTCGTGATATCGAAATAACAATAAATATCCACAAACCCCACAGCCAACAATTCAGTTTATCATAGGTAGACATCTCCAGAAAAGTGAAATACTCGAGCTATCCCAAAATACACACCGAGACATATACCATCACCACATCCACATCCACACCATACTCCCCTCGATTCCTCTACTCGTATAGGAAGGGGCACCCTACCCATACCACATATCCAGTACCCATCCTCACCACCACCCAAAAAACATCCGAAATCCCCCCAAATATCCCTCTCCCATCCTCTCTCCCAGTTCACAGAAACACCTATTACCTATAAAACTTTCAGATACAAACATTTAACATGAACACAACCGAGGGATATATACCGCCCTTCACTAACCCTCATTCTCATCAGGAAAGAAAAGAAAAGAAGAGACCTCTCAAACCACGAAAACCAAAACCTGTACAGCTGTACTGGACTAAGCTACCTAGTCAACGAGCTAATTATTCACCAGGTAACCAGGTCAGGTAATCATGTTGGGTTGGTGTTGCACCAGGATCCCGAACCACTTCACCTCACATCCATTCCATCATCACATTATACCACCTACCTCACATCCATTCCATCATCACATTATACCACCTACCCCATCCCCCACCACCACAAAACCCAAGCAAGATCACAAAAAAAAAACCCCCAAAACCACAAGCCTTTCATCAGAATTTCACATCTCACACTTCACCATAAGTAAAAAAACAAAAGGGATTCGGTTCATAAATATTGAATTTCATGCCTCAGAAGAACCAAGGTCTTACACTGGAACCGCGCGAGATCAAGATTAAACCGTCGAACCTAGTTTACAGTAGCTAACTACCTTCTCCCTAGGTCAAACGGAAATAACTAAACTACCTATCTAGTGAGGATGCATGTACCATCGAATCATACCACCACCCAACCGATCCATCTAGAAAAAAAAGAGTTCCAGTCCAGGTCCATCCATTCCGGTGCAGTGCAAGAGAATCAGACTTTCAAGTAGAGAATCCGCCCCAAGCCGCAGGAAGGAGAGGAGATGAAGAAAGTAGAAATGGAAGATAAAAGCAAGTATCAACCACTTCAAAGGAAAAGAAAAGAAGAAACAACCATGCCGAAAACCTATTACAGACACATCACCGGCCCCTCAAATTAACCCGGCCTACAAGTGAGAAGATTCGTTTCCATGTATGCTCCCAGAACAAAAGAGCTTCCATGATCGTAAAAAAGGGAGAATCCACTTTTATGCATATATCGTAATAACACAAAAGCACGCTACCGAAACAAATGCTGAATGCATCAAATGATTAAAAGAGAATTCCCATAATCGATCATGTTTTCTGTACCCGAATGAATCAATGACCGAGGTCGAAAAGGTGAATTTACCGAAGTGAAAAGAGAAAGCGTGATGAAGTTCAGATTTAGTGACGTGGTCGTTTAGCAGCAATTGGTCGAGCCATCGAATCACCTCCTCGCTTCTTGGTGGCCTTGGTCTCGTCGGTCTCGAGTTGTTGCCAAGCTTTGAAAGGACTTGGGGTACTTCTGGTGCTGCGTGTCGCGCGGACTGGAGTCTTTGGGCCGTCTTCCTCGCTGCTGGCGTCTGGCTCTGGAGTACTTCTCATATCACGGGAAACGTCCATCTTCTTGGATCTGGTAGTACGTGCAGTGGTTGGTGGAGTAAGGGCAGAAGCAGCAAATCTTGGAGCCTTGGGCGTGGAAACCTCCTCGACGAGTTGACCAGCTGGTGTTTCGTTCATGCTGAATCTGAGAGATTTCTTAGGACTGCGAGTAATGGTCTTGGCTGGTTCCTCAATGTCGGTATCGGCCTCTTCTTCTTCAACAACTTGAATTCTTTGCTTTCGAGCCTCGATTTGCTTGTCGGTAGGGTACAAAAGACGGGGCTTGATAGATGAACGAGTCATTGGACCAAGGTGCTCAATATCAAGGTCTCCAACAAGATCAGGTCCATCTTCGTCGTCTGACTCATTTACCATGGCATCGTTCTTCTCGTGACTGCGCCAGAACTTCTTGCCTCGACTATATATTGAGATTAGCGAGGGTATAGTCAGGTGCGTTTTCAAACTTACAAGATATAAGCCATTCCATCCTCGCGGTCCTTGACATCATCAATATCTTGTTCGCCTTCACCAGGAATAATGACCTTTCTGCGCTTGCTGGTGCGTCGGACTGGCTGGGCTGGGCTGGCGGCACCTTCACCATAGAAAGGATTGTCAAGACTGTGATCAGCCTCCGGGACGCGATCAGTGGAGTCGGTGTAAATTAGGATAGAACCCTCGGCATCATCAAAGCTGTCCAGCGTAAAACCAGCGTTTCCTCGACGACCGTTCTTCTTTCGCGGGGATGGCATAACATCGTCTAGGACGTCGGTGCGGGAGGTGAAGAGACTGCGGGAGATTCCTGAGAAGGCAGGGTTTTTCGCATCGGGGCGTCGCGATGGAGTCTTTGCAGGCGTAGGTAGCATGCCATTGTTGCGCGAACCTCCGTTGGGTCGGGGGATGTCCATCTTGTCCGCTCTGGTGGTGGGTGTAGGAAGTCCAAGGGATGATGTGGCGGAGCTCATGGATGGGAATTCGAGGGCTCCTGGTACTCGTCGTGCGCCGGACTCAGGCAAAGCTCTCGAGGTTCGCTTCTTTGGGGTCGCGTGGGGGGGGGCTGGGGTGTCAAGCATTCGCGAAGCTGAAGCTGAGGACGACTTCTTCTTGGACTTTGGGCTGGATCTCAGATCATGCTTTGTGACCTCTCGAGGGGGTGGGGTACTTGCTCGAGAACGTTGCGCAACGCGACTTGACTTTCGAGGAGAGTAAGGTTGGTAGTCGTCTGCGAAAGTTCCAAAGCGCGGTGTTGATGGAGTGCGGATGGCTGAGGAGGGTGGAGGGGTGTGGGCGTGGTGGAGGGTGGCCATGGTGAGTATTGTCTCCCTTAGCCAGAGGGGGGAGAGTGGTTGAAGGGGTGCGGGTGCAACTGCACCAGTGCGCGTGAATCTGTTTTGATTGTCTCGTTGCGTCGTAAGCAAGTGAATTGACGACAAGGACCTTTCTGGTTGCTGGGTGGAAATTGCAGACAAAGGGAGGGAGCGCTGGCTGACTTTGAACTGCTGGAGTCAAGAGTAGTGGAGGTCGGTTTGAGGATTTGAGTCGGTTTGCAGACAATTGCGATCAGATGGAGAGAGGAGCAGAAGAGCAAAGAAGCAAGACAAACGATACGAGTGTCAGATGTGTAGTGTTGAGTGTTGTAGGGAAGCAATCGGTGTGTTGTGGTGTGGACGGGAGGTGGAGGTGGAGGAGGTCGGAATACTTGGATTGATATTAAGAGAGAGGTTGGATAATGGTTTTCTCCCAGCCACCGCTGATGTGTTGTTGATCGGTGCTGGTGCTCGTCGGTTCTGCGCTAAGAGCACTAGCTTGAAGAGTGGGTCTGGGCGCCAATTTGACACTGACAAGGCCCCACTTCCCTGTCAAAAGCAGCCTCAATGACCACATGGTTCATGTGCGACAATATGGAATGACTTTATGAACAATAGAGAGTTATTTAGGGTTAGGGTTAGGTTACACAAGTGAATTGTCTCTGATTATTTCATTGGCGCAAGATGACTCGCCAATTCCTATCCAACAGCAAAATGGCAATTAGCCCACCTCCAGCTGTCATCTGCCCAGGTGACTTGGCACTTCTCCTTACTCCACTTCAATACACCGCTGCCCTTATCGCTCCCCTTGCGCCCCCTTGCGCCGGCTCCCCGCCCGAAAAACAGCGCACGCGAACCACACATCACCTCGACACTCGGTATTTTGGTATTTTTGAAGGTGAACGCGATTTTACGCGTTTATTACCAACTGGCTGGTCCAAAATCCGTAGCACTTGGGCTATTCAAACATAGCCCCCCAGCAACCGCCTCATCAAGGCCACCAAAGCCAGGTCCAAACCCCCAAAAACATCATGTCCACCCCCGACATTGGTAAGCTGGATCTCTCCGATTCCGACACCACAGAAGATCTCTTCGCATCCCCCTCCAAAGTGTCCAAGCCACGACAAAAGTCCGTCTCCAAGCCAACAGACAACAACAACGCGTCCACACAGCGCAATAACGGCGAATCAAAATATGACGCTGAGCAAGCGCGGGAGGCGTCCTTGAGGAAGGAGTTGGAGAGTGTGAGGAGTATCAATGAGGTGATTGAGGGCGTAGTATCGAGTCTTGAGTGCGCGAGGGGGAATATGGATGTACGTTGGACAGGATCCTGTTGGTATCATGGGCGCATGGCAGGTAGAGCTGACTCTTTGTTATGTAGACTATATCAAGAACCGTTACCTCTGCCTCTACCTTGCTGAATACGTGGATTCGAATCTTGTCGCAGACGGAGCATAATCAACGACTGATATTGAATCCCAACTGGAAGGGAGCAAGTCAGGATATAGTCGATATGGAGAATGAAACAGTACTGAAAGCACAGGCAGCAGAAATAAGGGCAGCCGAGGAAGAGAGAAGAAGGGAAGATGCGAGAAGGAGGGCAGAGGAGGAAGAAAGATCGCGCCAGGCTGGTACCACGACACGGGGAACACGAGGCACTAGAGGACGAGGCAGAGCAGGTAGAGCCGTAAGTAGTGGCTACGGTAGCAGCGGATATGTTGCTGGTGGGCCCAGAGGCTCATCAAATACCACGCGCTCGGGATCAGGTATAGGAAGAGGAACTGGTAGTGTGCGGGGTAGGCGGGGTCCAAGGTAAAAATGAAAGAACAAAATCATACTATTATCCTACAAACAAACGCCGGCCTTATATCCTATTGACGCCATAGTCCTGGTAGGACATCCTTTTCCAAACGCCAAACCATACAAACCCATAATCTGGTACAGTACTCACTTCTTTTTGAAGAAGTCGCTCATTTTCTTCATCCCGCTAACATTGACTTTCTTTAGAGTCTTCACACCTCTACTCTCTCCGGCTTTCTTCCTCTTTTCATCCTCTTCCTTTTTCCGCTTCTTCTCGGCTCGTCCTTCTCCGTCCCCTTCGTCATCTTCGAACCCTCGTTTCCTCGAGGCATCACCCAATGATCTCGCGGCAATGGCTTCTTGTCGGAGCTTGGCCAAATCTGCGATATGGGCATCGAGGGGGGCAAAGTCAGTACCGGTCTCGGGCGATGATGCAAGCTTTTTGATAGACTCGCTCATATATGGTGCCATATATTTTGAGCAGAGGAATGACATGGCAGTCCGGAGTCTTAGGAGATCTGCCACCCCATCAGGGGCAGTGATGGGTGGCAGTAGGCTTTTCTTGTTGGCCGTAACAGTAACAGAAGAGTCTCCTGAGAGTGATGTAGCAGCAGTGGAAGCTTGCGAAACAGAGCTTGTCGTGCTCTCAAATGAAGTGATGGTGGACTGTGTATCTGGGGTTTCCGTAGGAGGTGTCGAGATTGCAGAGTTGGCGGGTTTGACCGCATCCTCTTCCTCCTCACAGGCAATAATAAGAGTCGGGACCTCAAGGGCTTTCCTCACAAACTTCTCCTCCATACTTGGAGGCAGTCCCTGCTTGGTCATCTTCTTTGCCTTTTGTAGCAATGCTGTGAGAATCTTCCCCTCATTGACCCTGTACATTGTCTCATCTCCTGCTTCGACTGTGTCGCATACAACAGCCATACGCTTCTCTATCAATGACCGCAATGATTCGTTCCGTAGAAGGGGCGCAAGTTCGGGCGAGGCGGATGCCATTTTATCCAAGTAATCCTCTCCAGAAAGGAATAGCTTCTTTCCCGAGGCTTTGGCAGCTGATTTAGGAGTGAGAGCCGGTAATATGAGAAATAACGCATCGATTGGTGTGGCTACCATTAAATTGGCATTTCGTAGCACGTAGCCTTTTGTTGAAAATTGATCTACTGTCTCTCCCTTGCTTTCTGTCTGCTTGATATCTGCCCCATTTGCCTTCGAGTCCTCGGAATGGTCCCCTGATAAGAGCCAACTTCGAGGAGTCGATTTCGGCGCAGAAACCTTTGTAAGTTCAAAGAAACCGCGTTTGGGGCAGACGACATAAGGACTGTTCGTAGAATGACGTGAATTTTCAATTTGGATTATTCGAGCTTCTTCGCTGAGGTTTTCTGGTAATATAAAAAGCTGTGGAGGATTGGCGACGTCGGGGTTCAATTGGACTTTTTGGTCGGTGGAAACGACTGTTTTTTCCTCCGTTTCTTTCTCGGCTTTCTTTGCCGGTCTTCCTCGAGTTTTGGCCATCTCGTGTGTATTTGTGGTGATTGAAGGGATTGACAAAGTCTAAAGTTCCTAAATTTGAATGATATTCAAAGTTCAATTAACGCGTCCAAAGTCGGTTGGACGCGACGTGAAACCCATCGGCTAAACCAGGGACACGACAGGGGTCTGGATCGCAACTTCTCCAGACTGTGGGTGCCGGGTACAATCTTAGCTTGGGATGGCAGAATTGTGCAAGGTCTTGCCCATGAAGAGACTGTCCCGCTGGGCTTCCTACGAAATTACAAGACCTCTTGACAACCGTTTTCAGAGACTTTCGGCGCTATTTGCTGCGCCGTCGCAGTTATTTACTTTTGATAAACAAAAACGCATTGGCTAATCTAAAATCAACATCGTCATTGAGCTCACAACAACACCAACCGACTTGCGACTGACTGATGGCCTGTAGGCCAACATAGCATGTCTCAAGGTAAACAATTCATAAAGCTGATCGGAGTGTCGCTGACGCCACATAGATGATAATCCGGAATGGCCTCCCAGGTCCCCCCACGCTGCGCTCATGAGTACTCCTGGTGGACGAGATCGCCTGCGACGCCTTGCACAACGCGCGTCCCCATCTCCATCCCCGATAAAGCCATCAAAATCCTCGGCTTCGTTACGGCACGAAGCAAGAGGCATGATGGATGGTGCGGATGACAGCGACGGAGAGGAGGATGAGGAAACGCTCAATCTCAAGTTGGAGGAGATTCAGCTGAAAATCAAAATCAAGGAAGCTCAGAGGAGGAAACAACAAACCTCAGATAATGAGAATGAGTCGAAAGCGGGGACTTCTAGGGCAGGTTCTGTTGCGGCAAGTCGGGCGCAATCCAGACTCGAGGGCATACGAGAACGACAGTTACAACGATCCAAATCGCAAACGAATATAAACGTTCCAGTCTCGCCTGTCAGGAGGACGTTCCAAGCTCCGACGTCTCCCAAAAGCCCTAAAAGGGTTCTATTGGGTATCGACAAGGGACTTACAGGTAGGGATATATCGTTGAAGAGGGCACCTAGTTTACGGAAAAGAGAAGAAAATGAAGGAACAGAAAGGCGGTTGGGACCGTTCCTTCAAAGACCCCAATCTCAAATTGGGACTAATGGAGGTTCATTCTCGTCAATAAATTCAAGTCAGGAAAGTCGCCAAAAAAGTTTTAGTGAGCGCATGGCCGCTGCCCGGACTCAGGATACAGAACGACAGGATCGAGAAGCGCGTATGAGGAAGAACCGGAGTACGGCCTTTGACATAAACCAGGAGCAGATGCAAAGTTACAAGGAATCCGCCGTGGAAATGCCGGAAGCCCCTCGAAGGCCTTCAGACTTCAGCAGAGAAGACATATTAAAATCGGTTGGCAAACCGACCGCTAGTAGTATGGCACGAAGTAGAACAACGCCAGCTCTCCGGTTAGCGATGAAGGAAAGTAGTTTGCTCGACTCGAGTACGGTGTCTTCAAGCAGATCGGATTCCAGAGCTTCTTCGGCCGTACCGCCATCCAGAAATACTAAATCGAAAATAACACCGAGCGATGTCTCGGAGACCGAGGCCTCACAGTTCGAACCATTCTCAGCCACCCATCTTTCCAAGAGGATAATACCTCACCATGCTCTCACACGTACCCTATCCGGCAAGAAGACATTTTTAGTACCAGACCTACTCAGAACAGTCAAAGGTCCGGATTTTTCAGCCCCTGATATTGAGGAAGATTTGGTTGTATTTGCTATCATTGCGAAGAAGACGGATCCTAGGTCCCATGTACCCAATGGGAAAAGCGAGAAACGAGGAAAATACATGATCATGGGATTAACCGACTTAAAATGGGAATTGGATTTAGCTCTTTTCGATTCTGCGTTCGACAAATTCTGGAAACTCACTCCTGGGACTTTAATAGCTATTCTGAATCCTGGATTTATGCCTCCTCCGCGAGGAAGGGCAGATACTGGGAAATTCAGTCTAGTATTGAACTCCGATGCCGACACAGTTTTGGAAATTGGAAATGCTAGAGACTTGGGTTTTTGCAAAAGCGTCAAGAAAGACGGGAAAACTTGCGACTCGTGGATAGACAAACGCCATACAGAATTCTGTGATTTTCACGTCAACCTCACCCTTCAGAAAACCCGGGCATCTAGAATGGAGGTCAATACCATGAACTTCGGGCGGGGCGATTACGGTGCCAAAAAGTTCAATTCCAAGGATATGACCGGGTACATGGACTCAAGAAAAAATGAAAAGACACGCAAAAATGTCGAGTACGACCGAGAAAGTCACAGCACAGTCTTCATAGGAAAGAGAACGACCGCGAATCTACTGGATGATGTTGATTACGACCCAGATCATTTCCAACGGGGATCGAATAAAGAGGAGCGTTTGACAAGACAACTCATCGCTCAAGAGAAGGAGAGGGAATTGGAGAGGAAGTTGGGGGAATTCGGGAATGGGATGGGGGCCGACTACATGCGTGCTAAACAACCCTCAAGAGCTGGATCAAGAACTGATACCAACTTCAGGGCAAGTGATCAAGGTCCTCCTCCTCCACCTGATGCGGCAAAGTTGGGCCTTTTGGGTGGCAAGGCGATGGATATTAGACTAAGCCCTATCAAAAGAAAACGCGCCAACACGACATCGAGTAAAACCGCCAGGGGTTGGGGTAGCGATCTCAGTAAAGACTTGGGTCGAATGAAGGAGGGCGAAGCTTTACAGCCGAAGAAGAAGACCAGATTTGTCACGGCGAAGGGGATAAGAGAGGCGGGACGGGAGAGTATCCCAACCGGGGCTGTTCTTAACGATTTTCATGATGATGATGACAGTGATCTGGATATTGTAAGGGAATGATTGGTGTATAGGAATTTTTATACCTTTTTCTGTGTGATGGAACTGACATGGCTTGGTTTGAAGCCTCTCTCTGGTTACGCGGTTGTTCGACGTTTTCCTAGATACCAACTTTTTTCGCTTATTAGAGTTGCCTCTGGAATGACACTACTCCGCAATTTTTCTTGGTCTTTTCTCTCGTGAAAGTTTTTGAATATTCATTTTCTACAGTCATCAATCAAGCCTCTAACTACCCCTCTCAATCCCCTCCATCTCCCTCCCAGCCCTCTCCGCCAACCCCCTCACACTCTCCTCAATCCCCTCCATCCCC